GGCAAATACTCAAAAACATAGCATAAATAGGTCTTTTAAAGGGTCCTGCCACATAATATATGCTTGATAAATATATTGAGCAAATAAATGCAGAATCCAAATGGTGACACTTTTTAGTTTCTTGATAATTAGCCATTTGTACATCCAAGGAAACTACCAACATCATGAAAAAGCAACCTAGAGCATTACAGAAGCTATTTGTAAGCCATGTATTTGATAAAGAATTAGCTCTGAAATACAGAAAGAGTTTCTGCAATCAATGGCAAAAGAATCTACAACCCCTTCTTCTCCTGGAAAATACCTAATAGCAATGACATTGGTGTGGCTAGATGGCCCATGTTTGGGCAAAGACCTATGGGGAATGATTGCTGCAATGATTAGGGAGAAGGATTCACTAAGGGGCTCATGGAGGCGAGTCCAAAGACAGAAAATGGACTCTTGTCTCCAAGCTGGCCCATCTAGTTAAGGACACGAACATGAAGTTCTTGGTGGAGATCTGTCTGTCCTCCCTGCCTGTCTGAGGTGACAGACTTCTTGGAGACATACTCAAGAATAGTGTTTTAAAGATGTTGATGCAGAAGCATACACATCAACCAGTAGACCTGGGTCGAGGCGTCTATTGTCACTGAGACTGTGGTCATACTAGTCTGAGTGTTAAGTACTCTAAGGAGATAGCTACAGCCATTAGAACAAACAAAATCTTGGACAAGCTCTGCACAGTGCCTGAGTAGAGAGGTCACTAGGGAAACAAGATGCTTGAAGCCTCACACCATTCCATGCAAGGTGACAGGCCACTGGTATGCCTCATTCCTACCCCCAGAGGGACTGACATCTCTCATGCCTATGCCCCCAAAGCTGCTGCTATTGGTAGGTTCTGATGACTGCTGTGCTTCAGCCATGTGGGGACTCCTCAGAAAAATTTAAAGGTTAGAACTACTGTATGACCCTGCACTATCACTCCTGGATATTTATCCAGAAGAGTGGAAACGTTAGTCTCTCCTCTGTTCACTTCAGTGGTATTTACAATAGCCAAGATAGGGAAAGAGTGTAAATGTCCATCAGTGAATGAATGTATAAAGCAGATGTGCTATGCACATGACAGTGAATGAATGTTATTCAGCCTTAGAAAAATCAGGAAATTCTACAAAACCACAATAACATGAAGGAGTTATGAAGACATTATGCCAAGGGAGGCAAACCATAAAATGACAAATAATTTATGACTCAACTTATGATTCACTTAAATTGTAAAATGAACAGAATCAAAGTCTGAAATTGTTTTGAAGGGGTGCAGGAGGGAGAAGTGGAGTGGAAGGGAGGAGTGGAAATTTGGGTTTATTCTTTTTGTCGTAACTGCTGTTCAATACTGCATTTGCAGTCCACAGTGCTGTGCCATGCATCCACCATTGCTTACTCCTGTTATCACAGTGAAGTAAAAACAACAACGAAAACAAAGTGATACAAAACTTAGCCAGGCAGGGTGTCTCACAATTGTAATTCCACACTCAAGCTGAGACAGGGAGATTGGCACGAGCTAAAGGCCACTCTGGGCTATACAGTAAAACTGTTTAAAGACAATAGCAGCAACAAAAAAAAACAAACAAGCAAACAAACAAAAAAAACTGTTCAAAAACAACAACAGCCAGGCATAGTGGCACACTCCTTTAATCCTAGCAGAGGCAGGAGGATCTCTGTGAGTTTGAGGCCAGTCTGGTCTACAAATCAAGTTCCAGGACAGCAGGGCCACATAGAGAAACCCTGTCTCAGAGAACCAAAAAACAAAACAAAACAAACAAAAAACTGTTTCAAAACAACAACAAAAATTGAACACCCTTCTCCAGCCTGCCTAGTGTAAGTGAGGGTTCAGTAAACCACTGATCTAGACTGCTGTATGGGTAGAAAGAAAGATTTATTTGGGATCAAACTGCCAAGGGTGAGGGAGTGGGGCTGGGGTCAGGGGGAAAAGAGAGAAGGGCAAAATTTTATATTGCCATGATGGTATTCCTGGGCGACTAGGCACTTGAAGAAGGAATGAGCAATCAGGTGGCCCTGGAGGTAAGCGGGGAGAGGGCCTGTAAGTCTACGCTGGTGAGGCCAGCCATCAGTACCCATAGCGGAGACTTGAAGGCAAGTTTTACCAAAGGAAGCAGGAAGTATAGACGAAGTCACTCCTGAGAAATATATTAAAAATGACAGAGACTTACAAGCTATCTACACAGTCACTCTTGGCTCCTTATGGTTGTTGGGGGCCAAGGTCCCAGGGCAGCTTTGTTAGTCTTTGACCACCACATAGGACAGCATCAATCTCTGGCAGCCAGATGCAGAAGATCTAAGAGATTTTCCTATGGAGGAACATAGGAGACTGGCCTTACTTGGCAAGGCAGAGTGGATAGTCAACCCTCCAGAGTTCACAATTTGGACAAAGTCCTAGTGGCCAGCAATGTGTAGGGCATGTCTTTGTCTAGTGAGTAGTGTTGCAAACTGTATTAGTCAAGGTTCTCTAGAGTCAGAGAACTTATGGAATGAAGGGAATTTATTGGAATGACATACAGGCTGCAGTCCAACTAATCTAACAATGGGTGGCTGTGAATGGAAAGTCCAAGAATCTAGAGTCCCACAAGGCTGGTGTCTCAGCTGGTCTTCTATTATGCTGGAGTCCCTAAGAAGTAGGTTCCAGCAACGGTGAAGGGATGGATGTGCTGGCAAGGGCAAGCAGGCAAAGAACAAAACCTTCCTTCTTCCATGTCCTTACATGAGTTTCCAGCAGAAGGTGTTTGCAGCCCAAATTAAAGGTGTGTGTGTTCCCGCCTCAAGATCAGGATCAAAGACCAGATCCAGATCACAGGTGTGCCCTCCATTTCTGGACTGTAGTTTATTCCAGAAATAGTCAAGTTGACAACCAAGAGAGCCATCACATCACCTTTGAAGCAAGCTCCAGGTGGACCCCATTGGTGACCCATTCTCTTTGCTGATGGCCTCGGGGCAGCTGCCAGAAGATGGTATCTCTGTCTATCATGGGAGGCCCTTTCTGTCCTTTCCTGCTCCTGGGGGTGTCCCCAAAGGGAAAGAGATTTATCAGAGAGATGCCCTGAATCATAGTGGAGAGGTATCCCTTTCCATTTGATGGGGCGCTCAGTAGCACGGGAGAAGCTGCTTGACACACCAGCACAACTTTTGTTGAGTGGACAGAGAAACAGGCTCCAGGGAGCCAACGAGAGACATAGAGACAAAGAAAATAGCTCCGAGTTGACACCCGGTAGGCAAGGAGAGACAAGTGTGTGTAAGCAGAGGAGAAAACCCCAGGAGAGGTGGACTCTAAAATTTTGGAGTCGAGTATGGTGGGAGGCAGGAGCCCACAGAAGAAAGCGATCCGTACCAAGGAGGGTTCAAATCGACAGTTTGTTTCGGTTAGAAGGGGCGCCAAATGTAAGTGATGGCACAGTGGGTAGAAAGAAACATTTTAATTGGGGATCAAACTGCCAAGGCTGTGTCTAGGGGGATGGAGAGCAGAGGAAGAGCAAAACGGTAGAAAAGTGATTGGATTTTCTATGATAGTCATCCAAGTGGGGTCTTTGAGACAACTCAGGCTGTTCAGGTTGGATTGACCATGAATTAGATGCCCTCGCCCAAAGTAGTTGATCTTGGGCCAGATTAAGGGAGGCTTCTGCTAAACAGAAACCCATCTTCAGGCCGCTGTTTACCCAATAAACAATCCTGTTTACCAGGCCGGAGTTGTTCTGTTTAGGACAGTGTCACCAGCACTGCCATTCTGTGGGGCCACTTTGGACCCAACACCTAGTAGGACACTAGTCTGCTACAAATGAACTCCTTCCACTCATATTTTCTCTTCCAGTGTTAACTCGTCTGAATTCAGCATCACAGAACAGTTCCTGGACGGAACGTGTCCTAGAAGATTATCTGCACTCTTTATGTAATATAAGTTCAATACATAATTCCCTGGAACACAGTTTGCATGGGCTGCATTAGTGTGTTCTCAGTTACCATAGCAAAAATTCTTTATGATGGTTAGTTTGTAAGGACAGGTTGATTTATCTTGCCGTTCTGGAGTTCTGCGAGTGTGGTACCTGCTTCTGATTGGTTTTGGTGAAACCTCCCTCTTGGCAGATAGTATCACAGTAGGGAGGATCCTGGGTGAGGAAGAAATCTTATGGTAAGACAGGAAGTCAAGGAGTTAGTAGAAGCAACTCTTGGTATTTTTTTTTTCCCAACAATGCTTTGTCTCAAGAGATTTCTTAACTGGAGTAACCCCCGAGTAACACTTCCTCCAGTACGTTAGGAGCAGTATAAAATATACATAAAGCTCAGTCAAACAAGATGGCTCAGGAACTACATGGGAAGCAGATGGCTCGCCACATTTTATAGTGTATCTGACTTGGGAGAAATGTGAAGCCTATTCTATAAGGTTCTGGAGGGTGTTTCATTGAATAAACCAAACTTTGAGTATTCTTTCTATATTATCCCAATTCATTTGTGCTGCTCTTTTCTTCTTTATGTCAATCATGGCTGAGCATTGTTCTATATCTAGGACCTACAGCTTCAGGAGTCCACGTACAGTAAAAGCAGTTCCTGGTACACTAGCATGCCACAACTTAGTCTCTGATCCCAAAGTTGTCCCTGAATGTATGCCAGCTGTTCCTTAGATCATTAATAGAAAGAGATTGAACCCAGACTATATAGTGAGTTCCAGGTTAGCCAAAACTACACAGTGAGACCCTGTCTGTGAAAAATAAAAATAATGTTGATTTGAATAAAAATTGATGTGGGCTTGCTTTTGGTAGAAATGTACATTGTTACAACTTGGCAGAAATGGCATTATATACAAAAATCAAACAGAAACATTAATTCAGTCATATGCATGCAAACACATCAAAATTGTGTGGGTAGGTTGCAACAGTATTTTTTACTATAACTGCATGTAGAAATAATTTTTTTTTTTTTTTTTTTTTTTTTTTTTTTTTTTTTTTTTTTTTTTTTTTTTTTTTTTTTTATCAGACAGATGGTCTTTTATTGAAATATTCTCTCTTGTTGCTTCTAACTAGCTGGGCATTCCACCACACCACTGTTGATGTCGTCAATGATGTCATGAGGATGGCGCCCGTCCACATTGCAGCCCACAGACTGTGCAGTACCCAGGATCTCTTTAATAGTTCCAGAAAGTTCTCTGGCTAAAGACCGGTGTCGCATCTGCCGGGCAATGTTGACAATCTCGTCAAAAGTGATGTTTCCACTGTGTTTAATGTTCTTCTGCTTCTTTCTGTCTCTTGGTGGCTCCTTGAGGGCTTTGATGATCAGGGCAGAGGCAGAGGGTACCACCTCAATCTGGGCCTGTCTGTTCTGGATGGTCAGCTTCACTGTGATCCTGAGGCCTTTCCAGTCTCCGGTTGCCTTGGCAATGTCATCACCAACTTTTTTTGGAGACAGACCCAGGGGGCCGATCTTGGGGGCCAGGGCGGACGTGGCGCCGACCTCACCTCCGGTGCACCTCAAGTACACGACTTTGATCTCGTTGGGGTCGAACTTGGGCGGCATGGTGGAGGCGGCTGGTGTCGGATGAACCCGGATTCGGGACGACCGAAGAAAGTTGCACCGTAGCCTCCGCCGAGCCGAAAGCCGAAAAAGCAGAAATAATTTTAATGGAATTAAAATTGATAAATAATGTGACAGTCATAAAACAGAGTACTATTCAGTAACAAAAGTGAACATTTTAGCTGCATACACAATGTGTACAATTCTAACAAACTTCACGTTTACTGAAACATCCAACACATCAGTACTATAGCTGCTTGAGTCCATTAACGTATAGTTCAATTACATTAGTTACTTAGTTATTTCTTGAGACTGGGTCTCACTATGTAGCTCTGGATAGCCTGGAACTCACTATGTAAATAGGGCTGGACTCAAGGTCACAGAGATCCACCTTTCTATTAAAGGCATGTATCACTCTTCCAGGCTCCACTAGTGTGTAATTCGGAGGGAAACATTTTAGAAGCTAGAATACTGGCTACTTTTGAGTAAGAGAAAAGAGATACTTCAACTTTTTTTCCAGAATACCTCTAGAATCACATGGCTAGTGAGGAATTCTGCATCTCAAGCTCTGCTTCTAACACCTGCAAATTACTCCTCTGTCTACAAAAGCTACAAGAGGAGGGATTAATACCCTAGACCACTCAGATTTTCTTGATTGTCCCATACACATGCAAGCCTATATGTATTGCTCTTCCCTCTGCCCAGCGTGGAATTTTCCATTCTCTGTAGAGAAAGCCCAAGCTCTTCATTGAAAATGAGAAAGAAGCTCAAGGTTTTGTTTCAGATTTGTCTGGGCTCTAAGCTTGCCACTCTCAAAGTTTCTGTGCTTGGTCATGTTTAAGCTTTTAGCCTCAGTTTCTCTTCTATGAACTAGTTATAATGATATGTAGCTCGTGGGCTGTGTTAGATTGGGATTGATGGAAGTGATGTGGACATGAAGGGAAGAAGCCAGGCGTCTCAGAAACAGAATTGTTCTTTCAATCAGAACAACTGAAAGGCTATAGCCTTTCCTAAGAGTTGAGAGTGTGCACACATGGTGTGGGGATCTTGGGATTTATAGGAAAGGAAAGGGGGAACTCTGGGAATGGAAGAGTCCATCTGCAGGTCATTTTCCCTGCAGTCTCAACGTGGTAAACACCAGCGGGTTTGGTGTTATCAATCAAGACAACTTTCCTACCCAGAGCTTCTCACACTACCTGAGGCCTATAGGTAATTCACCCTTCAGGCTGTTTGAGGATATAAACAAGATGATGTGGTAAGAGCTCATTACATATTATTTTATGTTTTCCTTTTAACCTTTCAGGATTACTTGATTCCTGAGTTATACTGTCACTCATTCGGAATAATTTTAAATCATTATTTTTTTTTTATTTAGTGTAAATGTGCTGGCAGGAGTCAGAATTTCAAAAAAGAGGAAAATATGCCACTCTAGTCACAATAGTTAGAAAATGAAAATAACAATGAAGTATATGTATGTCCTTCAACTGATGAATGGATAATGAAAATATGATACAAATACACTCTAGACTACTATTCAGTTGCAAAGAAAAATAAAATCATGAAATTTGCACAAAAGTGGATAGAACTAGAAAAAATCACACTGAGTGAGGTAATCTAGACCCAGAGAAGCAAATGTCACATGTTACCTCTTATTGGAGGCTCCTAGCTCCAGAGCTTCAGATGTGAGCATACAGTCTGTAGTAACACCAGAAACCAGGAAAATAAAATGAGACCATTGTTTTATCATTTGATACAGAGTTTCATATAGTCCAGGCTAGACTCAAACTCGATATGTAGCTAAAGATGACCTTGAACTCCTGATCCTCCCAGGTGCTAGGATAACAATATACCATTACACCCTCTTGTCTTGATGTTGTTGTGGAAGAATACTTGAGTAGCATTAAGCACACCCACAATGGTGTACACTCATTACTACTTTCTGGAACTTTTCATCATCCTAAACCAAACTTTTAACGAATGCTAACACCCGTTCCCTTCCCTCAGGACAGGCTCAGAGATTCTACTTTCGTCCCTATGAATCTTACTATTCTGGTGGGGACCTCTAATGCCTGGAATCAGCACAGTGTTTGTCCTTTCGTAACTGGCTTATCTCATACAGAGAAATGTCACTGGCAGTTCATGTTGGAGCATGTATCAGAACTATGTGAACATCTTGGAAGGTTTATTTTAAAAATCCCTTTAGTAATGTTACCAGGAAGCATTGCATTTACAATTTAATTTGGAGAGTGCTTCTAGAGTTTGGCATGTGTCCATTGAGTTTTGCTTTCACGGCCTCAGGGAAAGTGCTCTGCCTCCTGGCTGTTGTCCTGCTGGAGGGAAGCAGAGAGTCTTGTTAGAATGAGGGCTGCACTGAAGTGTTTGGGAGGTAAAGAGACATCCTGACTGCAACTGCTTTCCAACGTTCAGAAAAAAATATGACACTATGTTTATACAAATATAAAATGATAGGGAAATGTATTCAAATATAAACTATTGGGGCATCTGGGTGGACATTCTTCACACCATTCCTCTAAAGTTTAAGTTAGGTATTATGTCAACCCTAAACTTAGAAAATAATGAACAAATACACACCTGTTCCTCCCCAAAGTAGGTATGTAAAACAAATGACCTGTTTACAACTCAAATGTTTAAAATGTGAGTGTACAAAAGCCAGAGCTCAGAAAAAATGCTTCTGCAAGAGCCACGGCTGAACAGCAATTGGAACTGATTCTCCAGCATTTCATCAATGGCAGATGTAGGAGTTAGTGTGTGAGTGAATTAACAGTGTACTCACAGTGGGAAGATGCCATCAGGGAAAAGGAAATAACCTGAGATAAAATCATGGAACATCTCAGTAATTATTTAACAGGAACAGATGTTTTAAGTTGTTCACTTAAAGATGTTGTTCACTGGAAAGAAGATCATTGGAATTTATTTTTATGCTTACAAAAATGTTTAGAGTGTAACTTCATTAGGAAGAATATTAGCTCCTGGAACATTTGTTATTTATAGTCTGATGTAATTTGTCTTATGAGTTTCCACTGCCATTTGGGAAGGTCTATAAACAAGTATTTGTACTGACAAGTGAAATATGACACATTGTAAGGATATCCTCAAACATGCCAGGGAGCTGTAGAAAACATGGAAAGTAATCAGGAAGCTAATGACCATACCATAATTCCCATATAGTATTTTTAATAATTTTGTGTGGATATTGTTCTGTATGCTGTGAATGTGTTGCTCTGATTGGTTAATAAATAAAGTGCTGATTGGCCAGTAGCCAGGCAGGAAGTATAGGCGGGACAAAGAGAGAGGAGAATTCTGGGAACAGGAAGGCTGAGTCAGGAGATGCTGCCAGCCGCTGCCACCATGAGAAGTAAAATGTAAAGTACCGGTAAGCCACAAGCCACGTGGCAACTTATAGATTAATAGAAATGGGTTAATTTAAGATATAAGAACTAGATAGCAAGAAGCCTGCCACAGCCATGCAGTTTATAAGTAATATAAGTCTCTGTGTGTTTACTTGGGTCTGAGCGGCTGCGGGCCCTGGTGGGACTGGAGAAATCTCCAGTTATAATTTTGGTCCTTGATAATAAGACATAGGTCAGATTAGGTGTTAAAAAAGTTTTATTTTTTTGAGATAAGGTAGCCCAGACTGGCCTCACCATATCCTTGCTTCAGCCCCGTGAGTCCTGGCATCACAGATACACACCAATGAATCTTGCTTAGATATCGATCCCTCTTAAGTTCAGATTTTTTTTTAAAGTGACAAGAAAACATACAAATCTTTTATTAAAACTGTCTCTCAAGGAGGCTTGTTTGTAAGAAGGGCTCCAGTGAAAGAAAGGAGAATAGGAGAAAGAAATTAGTGTAGTGTGTGAAAACAACTAAAATTCCAAGTGTGAAACTGTGAAACAAACAAAAAACATTGGTGCCTCAAGCCTTGTCTCATCCATGATGCAGAATTAAGATCTTTCTTAGAGCCGGGCGGTGGTGGCGCACGCCTTTAATCCCAGCACTCGGGAGGCAGAGCCAGGCGGATCTCTGTGAGTTCGAGGCCAGCCTGGGCTACCAAGTGAGTTCCAGGAAAAGGCGCAAAGCTACACAGAGAAACCCTGTCTCGAAAAAACAAAAACAAAAACAAACAAACAAACAAACAAAAAAAACGGTGGAAGATCTTTCTTAGAAAAGCACACTCAGCTTTGTAATATCAGTGGCCATGAGGAAGAGTCTGTACTGGTACATAGTCTCCAGACAGATTTCCCAGAATTCCTCTCAGACATCATCCAGTGGGGGTTTCTCTCTGGCCTTTTTCATATGTCCATTGACTTTGCTCACTTTTCATTTTCTCTCTCAGATTTTCTCCAAAAATCAAGTTCCCCTGCTGTAGTATTTGAACGTAATTGGCCCCCATATACTCATAGGGAGTGGTACTATTAGGAGAGACACTGCCAGCTGCCACGATGACAAACAGCATGTGAAGATGCCGGTAAGCCACGAGCCATGTGGCAAGGTATAGATTAATGGAATTGGATTAATTTAAGCTATAAGAACAATTAGCAAGAAGCCTGCCACAGCCATACAGTTTGTAACCAATATAAGTCTCTGTGTTTACTTGGTCGGGTCTGAGCGGCTGTGGGACTGGCAGGTGAGAGAGATTTGTCCTGACTGTGGGCCAGGCAGGAAAACTCTAGCTACAAATGGCGTCCAACATGGTGGCAAGAGTTTCCACCTAAAAACTGAGAAAAGATTCTAAAACGGATTTGAAAACAGTTCCTAATTGTCTCTCTCAAATGAGTGGCAGCTGCCGGTTTGAGCTACTGGTGGGTACCTAGGGTGTGTGCTCGACCTGCCGCCGTATGGCGGGAATGAGGTCTCTGCAAGTGGCACATTAAGCTGTGTGGTGGATTTAGCCTTTGCTAGTACAAAACAAAAAAAGGTTTCTGGCCGGGCGGTGGTGGCGCACGCCTTTAATCCCAGCACTCGGGAGGCAGAGCCAGGCGGATCTCTGTGAGTTCGAGGCCAGCCTGGTCTACAAAGCGAGTTCCAGGAAAGGCGCAAAACTACACAGAGAAACCCTGTCTCAAAAAACCAAAA